AATCAACAAACATAAGCTTCATTGAGCAGCAGAGTTGCTAATTTAATGTAAGTAGACGCCAGCGAACAAAATCTCAGAACTTACCTTGGAGGTCCAATAACTTCGTCTTTGAAAGTTTTATTATCTTCTCCATGGGCGTAGTAGCATTGCAACTCATTTACATTCCAACCTGAAAGATTAAACCCCACAACAAAGCTTCTTCTTTTGAATATATTTTTTATTAAAAAAAAAAAATTATTAATTTGGTTACTCACCTTTAGTTTTTCATGACATTCCTTCAGTGCCTTCCCATTTTTCTTCTTCCTCCACTTATGGCCACATTTCTAAGTTTCTCACCACCTTCCTATCAAAAAGAATAACCGAGCCACCTGAAATCACAGATGTTATCAGATTCAAGCCAGGTTTTGTGACATAAATTTACAAAAACTATTTGCTAATTCTCTCTTTCCATACTTGGCGGCAGTTAGGAGGGAGGACAAATATGATTTGGTGATAGTTTCGAAGCAGTTCACAAATTTCACTGGATGAAGCCACCGATGTTGTGCTTCTAACAGTATCTGCTTAACATCTGCACTCACCATTAATTCAAATCATTCCATTTCTAAAGAATTAAAAGTAACTACACAGATGATTGAAGTTGTGTTACCTGGTTGAGCTCCAAGAGCAAAGCGCCTACTCCCGCCATTAACAGTTTGTTACTGTTAAAATTAAATGAAGACCGTTATTTATAGGATAAAATTAGCTTATGGGGACTGACCACTGTTACACTACGCGCCTTCCTGACTTTGCGAGCTATAGTTTACTTGACTTTTAAAGACCTGTTTATAAACGCTTTTTCAATCTACGTACTTTACTTTTAGAGGCGTTTGGTTGGCGGTAATGTCAGATTATTGGGGTAATGTCATCTGATATTATTTGATTACCACGTTTGATTGTCAGTAATATAAGATTCGGTAATCTTCAAATACTAATATAACTACTATTGGTAATATTGGAATGTATCTGATTACCTCATTTTCTTAGGTATTCTTAGATTACCATGGTATCCTTTTTTATTACAATTTATTCTTTATTAATGAAAATTTGGCATAATGCCCTCATTTTAAAATAATTTACATTAATATCCTATTTCAATTTTACCCTTATTTAACTAAAATTTGGACAAATGTCCTTGAATTTAAAACAATTTACAAACCATGCCACTCAGCCACCACCACCACTGCCACTCACCACCACCACCACCACCACTGCCACCCAACCACCACCGCCTACATGGCCAACCACCACACCGCCTCGAAAACTCGTCGGGTCCCTAAAAAAGAGAGTTTCGGTGGGAGGCTCCGGAGTCATCGCTATGGCCGTTTTCGGCCATATCGAAGCCTCTTGGTCACGGTGAGTTGCTGATGGGGACTTTCGGAGACTTCCAGCGGTGGTCTGCGGTGGCGGCAGGAGGCGGGGGTGATTTCGTAATAAATTAAAGTTTTATATAAGCAAGGGTGTTTTAACTAAATCTGAAATATTGGGGGTTAAAAAAATATTCAAAATTAATAATAAAAATAATTATATTAATATTTGTAAAGGGACAATTTAGTAATTTAAATAACTACCTACCAATTTATCCCCATAACCAACCATATTAATATAACATACCCACCAACTAACCAAACACATTTTCTTAAAGATTCCTAGTAATCTTTCAAGGTAATCTATCTTTCAATAATCCAACATTCCCAGTAATCTAACATTCTCAACCAAACGCCCCCTTAAAGACACTGTTTATAAACACATTTTCAATCCACATACTTAGCGACAGGCGTTTGCCCCGGCCCCATGGGGATCTAGCTCGACCCGGTCAAAATGGGATGGGGATCCTGAAATATCAGGGATGGGGCTGGGATGGTCCCCTAAAAATTTTCGAACCAATCCGGCCTGTCAATCCGCCCCTATGGAGGCTTACCTCGCCCCTCATATTGTTCTTTTTATGAATATTTATGTTTTTTTCCCCTTACGCGTTGTATATAAAGTTATAATTAAAATTATGATTTAAATTAATTAATGTACCTAAATTTATGATTTTCTTTATAATACTTGATTCTAATGGTGTTTGAAAGCTAAGAGAAGGGTTACAACTTTCATATTTTAGTTGGGATCCAGTTTGACTTGGAAAGTTGTTACAATTAAGCGAAAGTTATGATATTGCATGAAGAGAAGTAGATTGTTTATTATGTGTTTTTTAATTGAAGTATGACTTTTTACCATAATACTCTCATGACCTTAATACTATAAATAGAGGTCCTTAGCAATGTTTTAGAGAGGCTAGGGTTTTTGAAAACACATTAAGGGAGATAAGGAGACCAAAGGAAGAGTTTAGCACTATTCATTCAGAGAAGTTGACGTGAATCTTTCTGAAGATAAATCCTTCAAGATTCTAGTTTCAATTTCAATTTACTCTACCTTTATTTTCAGTTTGGAATTTTTGTAATGATGATTTCACAACCGTTTTTGATTATGTTACTTTGATTAAGGGTAGTTTTCTTTTGTAAGGAGTAGATTCTATGAACACCATGTTGCCTTGATTTTCAATTTTATTGAAAGTATTCAGAATGGGGGAACGACTTACACATACCCAAATTTGTTGTATAGACAAAGTGGTACTCAAAAGGTTTAGAAATGACAACACTCACTTTTCGTCATGTTCTATTAGGAATTTTCATCTGCTAAAAGACAAATTGTGAAAAACTAAAGTACCCATCGATCTCCATTCCCAACGCACGCCAGCAAGGGCAGTTCCATTGTTTATCACCGAACTTCACAGAAAAATGCTAAATTCGGTTAAAAAATCGACGGTGACGCAAGAGGGTTGTGCAAATGAGCTTGGGGTGAAAGGCAGTGATCCAACATCAGAAGCACAATTTTCCAAGACATCCTCCCATGACTGGAGTTCAAGGTTTTTCCAGAGGTCATATGTTAACCCAGCATCACTACTATCCTTACTTTTATCTGCTTGACTAAGTGAACTAAAATCTGTCTTTGGAACATCTGAGCACTTTCGTTGGTAATCATCTATTAACAACAGAGTATGACTATAAAATTGGCATGTCAGCTCACGCAAGAACCAACTAAATAACAGACATGTTAACCAGAACGTAATCTTACTAAAATAAAAATGAGAAAACTGATTTACTTGTGAATGGTGCAGGGTAATAAGGATCTGAGAATCCAGCATCTATATTCTCTATTACAGGGTGCTGTAAATCAAGAGAAGAGCGGAATCTGGAACTTGTATGGTTATAATACACTGCATCAAGTATCATCTTTCATATGATTATGAAATTTTTTGAGGCATTCTTCCTAAAAAAGAAATCTTACAGAAGACATTCATGATCAATTGAGAGCTAAGACATAAAAAGATTCAAGAAATGCACCTGATTCAGCATTCCCATATTCTGATGCCTGAGCACTGGTCAGGCTTGTTGTCTCTGTAGTTTGTGAAGGTAAATTGTTGGGATGGAAACTGGAAGACATAGAACCTTCTATCTCAGAACTGGCTATAGTTTTGTCGATTTCTTGGGAATAAGGAGTAGTTTCTTCAGTTGCTTTAATGCGGTTATAATTTGTCCTATTTCCCTGATTATTCAAGAAAAAAAATAATAATAAGACTTGAAATATAAGATAAGTGAAATAGAGTTGCAGTAATAATGCCATTGAACATGACATATCATGGGACGATCTGCAACGATCATGAGTGCAAAAATTTCAAAATATGGCCTACACATCAAGTAAATCAAAATGATCAATATCTTGACTGCAAAAGCCTGAAGTAAGATCAGGCGCTGAGTCTGAATATAACTTCTGTTCCATATGGCGCTTGGATAAATGTGAAGAATCATTTTTAGATGTCTATTTACAATGAAAATTAAAGTCAGAATAAAATCAAACAAAAAAGAAACCATAAATTTGATAATAGCATTTACTGAATATTACTGCATAAGGGAAATAAAGCTTCACGCTGACAACTTGGTTAATTTTCCTGCCTGTATTGAATAGTTGAGATGCCTAGAGCTTAGTTGACATATTGCAATCAAATTGGAACATAAATTTTAGTATACCTCTGTTTCTGAGCCCACACATGCCCGATTTGTTGTGAAATCAATAATGTCACATAGCTGGTCTTCAGAAAGAGAAGAATTCGGCATAGAGGTATCCAAGTGCAGTCGAGTAGGAATGCTAGAACCATCAGTCCTATTCTCAGTATCACCTGTCTCCCGGTAGGCCTCAGAACTGAACTGAACATCAGCACTTGCAAGTTCCTCACCCATCAACCCATAGGAACTTTCAATCTTCCTCAAACCCTCTCCCGTTAGTGAACAGTCTAATAAATGTTGTTTCATAGCATCAGAGTAGATGGCTTTTCCCTCTACAGTCGAAATTCTTTCAGAATCTGATTGCAAAATTTGTGCATGTTCTGCATTTGGAAGCTGTCTCTGAAGATCATTTTGATTGTACGGATGTGCATAGGAAGGGACCAAGAAATCAAGTAAATCGACACAATCGCTGTCTTGCTCACACAACTTTGAAGTAAGACCTTGATCCAAGTCTGAATATGTGAAATATTTGCTAGCAGAATCATTTTCAAATGTCTGTCGACAAGAAAAATTGAAGTCTGAAAAAATAATTGAACTTAAGTAGATAAAGAAATGTGATGTATCAAGAAAGCACTAGATTTCTCAGTCCTAACAGCTTCCAAAGTATCCATTCTTGTCACTGTAATGTAATTACAAATAAAAAACCCAAAAGATACTGTAGAATGAACTTCATAAATCTTTTTTCTATTTTAAACAGTTTCTACCAACCTTGAAACTATGGCCAAAGAAGAGCTATATGATATTGTACCTGCCACTCCCCAAGAAACTGTAGGTGACTCCCAAACTCCTCAGATTCACCAAAGCTTTTCGCAAAAAGCTGTTCCGAAATTCCATGTCCTTGTTCAGGAATGTTTCCTATGGTTTCTGTTTGAGTTGAAGAAATTGATGGGTGAGAAGGCAGAGATCCAACATCGAGATCACATTTTTCCATATATTCCTGTGGCTGGAAGTTAGGAACTTTTTGGGGCTGGCACAAAAAGATAACATAGCATAAAACCATCAAATGTGCATTCTCAAGTATCAGTATATTCTTTTTAAGCCATACAAGATTTGCAGAAGGCACAAAGCAAGCAAGGAAAAGGCTTAGCTGCCAATTCGTGAATTTTTTAGCAACATGGATAAATACAAGATGCTGAGAGATAAATTATAGTGGACTACAGGTTTCTAAGTGTTGGAGTTGTCGACCACTTCAACATTGATGGGTTACACAGACACATTCGAGGGTCCACTTCAACAGGTTTATATACTAAGTTTTAGTCTTTTAAACCTAGTATATAAACAAAATTTTCTCTTATAACGAGTACTAGCAAATAATAGGGCAAATTCATTCATTGCAAATAAGAGAGGTGAGACAATATCGAAACAATATGGACTCTGCTAGACGTAGCCTGTTAATTAGGTGAATCAGAGTAAATCGTGCATTTTTTTCTTTCTCTTTACAGTCTGCGTTTGCGTGTTTTCTGTTTATTTTGTTTTTCATATATCTCTATTTCGTTCACTGAGCTTATAATACGTTTCAAGTAATATAAAGATGGCATAATGAGCACAGAATATAAAGAGATGATTGTCTCTAACCTTTACATCTCGATAGTGGACAAGAACTATGTTTGAAAACTCCCTGCAATAGTCAATAGGGTCAATTAAATAAGATATCACAGCAGAATTTAACAGAAACTGAACATTTCTGATTCCGCAACTGGCTTAAGGGGTGTTCACATTTTTGCATTCATTTTGGTAGTAATACTAATCACACAACCCCACAGCATCTCATTTCGAGCACAAATAGCTAGCTCTGCCGATGAAATAAATAAACATAAGCTTCATTTAGCAGCAGAGTTGCTAATTTAATGTAAGCGAACACCAGCGAACAAAATCTCAGAGACTTACTCTTGGAGCATCCAATAACTTCGTCTTTGAAAGTTTTCATTATCTTCTCCATGGGCGTAGTAGCATTGCAACTCATTTACACTCCCAACCTGAAAGATTAAACCCCACAACAAAGCTTCTTCTTTTGAATATATTTTATATATAAAAAAAAAAAATTAATTAATTTGGTTACTCACCTTCAGTTTTTCATGAGATTCCTTCAGTGTCTTCCCATTTTTCTTCTTCCTCCACTTATGGCCATCATTTCTAAAGTTTCTCACCACCTTCCTATCAAAAAGAAAAACCGAGCCACCTGAAATCACAAATGTTAATCAAGATTCAAGCCAAGGTTTTGTGACAATAAATTTACAAAAACTATTTGCTAAAATTCTCTCTTTCCATACTTGGCGGCAGGTTAGGAGGCTGAGGACAAATACGAATTTGGTTATAGTTTCGAAGCAGCAGTTCACAAATTTCAGGTGGATGAAGCCACCGATGTTGTGCTTCTAACAGTATCTGCTCAACATCTGCACTCACCATTAATTCAAATCATTCCATTTCTAGAAAGAATTGAAACTAACACAGAATGATTGAAGTTGTCTTACCTGGTTGAGCTCCAAGAGCAAAGCGCCTACTCCCCGCCATTAACAGTTTGTTTCTGTTAAAATTAAATGTAAGACCGTTATTTATAGGATAAAATTAGCTTATGGGGACTGAACACTGTTACACTACGCGCCTCCCTTGACTTTGCGAGCTATAGTTTACTTGACTTTTAAAGACACTGTTTATAAACGCGTTTTCAATCCACATACTTAGCCATGGGCGTTTGCCCCAGCCCCACGGAGATCTGGCCCGACCCGGTCAGAATGGGAGGGAGAATCCCTGGAAATATTGGGGATGGGGCTGGGGATGGTCCCTTAAAATTCCCGACCCAGCCCGGCCCGTCAATCCCGCCCCCATGGAGACCAACCTCGCCCAACATATTGTTCTTTTATTGAGAATTTTATGGTTTTTTTTTCCCTTTACGAGATTGCATATAAAGTTATAATTAAAATTATGATTTTAATTAAGTAATATACATAAATTTATGATATTTACTTTTATAATACTTTCTAATACCTGATTCTAATTGCGTTTGAAAGTTAAGAGACAGGGTTACAACTTTCATGTTTTAGTCGGGATCCAGTTCAACTTGGAAAATTGTTAACAATTAAGCTAAAAGTTACGTTAGTGCATGAAAGACAAGTAGATTTTTTATTATGTGTTTTTAATTGAAGTATGACTTCTTACCATAATACGCTCACAACCTGAATAATATAAATAGAGGTCCTTAGCAATATTTTAGAGAGGCTAGGGCTTTTGAAAAGACATTAAGGGAGAAGTGGAGATCAAAGGAGGGAGTTTAGCACTATTCATTTAGGAGAAGTTGGCGTGGAATCTTTCTAGAGATAAATCCTTTAAGATTCTAATTTCAATTTCAATTTAATCTACCTTTATTTTCAGTTTGGAATTTTCGTAATGATGATTTCATAATGATTCTAGTTACTTTGATTATGGAGTAGTTTTCTTTTGTAAGGATTAGATTCTACGGAACACCATGTTGACTTGATTTTCAATTTTATTGAAAGTATTCATAATTTTTATTGTTCTACAAGAATTTATGTTATTTACATAATGCTTTTGGATTTGATTTTTCCTTAATTATTTAGGGTTTTTATTGAATGATGAATCGGGCGGTGAAATTTGATTAGAAACCTTTTGATTAGGGTTTTATTACGTTCAATTGTTTAATTGACGTAATGATGAATCGGGTGGTGAAATTACTTTAGGTCTTTAGAATAACATAGATTAGAAATTGAATAGGATACTATGGAGAGTTTTATAAAATTCATGTGGCCAGCTTAGGTTTTAAGCAGGAGCGAAATCTAACTATTAATGAATTTCACAATTGTGTTAAGTTCAGGAATTTAGTCATCTTTATATCAATAAATTTATGAATCTGATTTTTACATTACGAGTAATATTACACTCACAAACATGGTTATCAAATCGTGTATCATATCGTGTATCGAAAACCTAATTTTTTGAATCGTGTATCGTATCGTAAGATACGCCTTTTTCAAAAAAATTAATAAAATAATCAAAAATTTTTAAAAATTAATATCATCCCTAAGATTAATTAAAGAATTTTGTGGTATTATTGGCTTTAAATTACGGTATTACATAATCAAAATTAATCACAAAATTCCAAGATCAATGTCAATATCTATATCTTCACTTATATTATTATTATCATGTAAAATGGGTAATACATATTCCTCTTCACTTTCTCCATGCAAAATGGATAAATTTGGACAGGTTTTAGTGAATCGAGTTGGGTGACCCGGTTTCAACTTGAATTTTTTTTGGACTTTGGCCCAAATTAATAAAATCGTATCGATTTATATCGATATTTTTAAGGATACGAACGGATACGTATCGTATCGTAAGATACATATCAACGTATCGAAAGGTTTAGGATACACTCTCTGATACGTATCGTTGACGACCTGTATCGAATCGTATCGTATGATATGTATCGGGTATCGTAGGATACTAACAACCATGCTCACAAACACTTCTTATTAACTTTCTTTCACAAATACCACGTGTCAGCTCACAATTGCTCAACTCGCATGAGCCTCACCTGTCCAACAATGGGTCTCACCTCACCAAACCAATTGCAAGCTACCACATAGGGTTAGTGAGAGGTGTTAGCGTGAGATATTTGTGAGATTAGTATTATTGTTTACGTTACATAGTTATCAACATTGGTTTAGGGAGAATGAAACCCTTAATATTTTCATTGTATAATGATCTTTTGTTGTGTTATTTTAGTTGTTTTTATTTCTAGTAATTTCTGTTTTTTTAAATTTTAAATTCATATCGCAATTTTCCGTCACTTATAAATTATCCAATTTATTTGTTTGTTTAGCATTCCATCCTGGTGGTATTCAACACTTTACTCATCACTTTATTATTTATTGACTAATCTACGTACTAGCATGTACGAAAAAGTCACATCAATAGTCCATGTCAGTCTTGTGAAAAGCCATAACCGTTGTTTCCAGGAATATTCAAGTAATACTGATCATGGGTACAT